AAAATATATGGATGGCAGATGCGCACATGAATAGAAGCACAGAAATACGCATCATTCATAAATACCAAGTAAAACTGCAGTGAGATACCTCTGTTAGAATACCTAAAATTAAAAAGTCTGCTGGTGGGAATGTAAAATGGTGCAACTACTTTGGAAAACAGTTTGGCAGTTCATTACAAAGTTACTAGAAAACATAAGCCTACAGTATGATACAAACATTCCTCTCTTAGGTATTTACCCAAGATAAATGGAAGTATAAGACTTCTGCAAGAATATCCATAACAGCTGTATTTTTTTTTCCTTTTTATTTTGCCCATGGGTGCTTGTGCCCACATATGAGAGAGAGAAAAAAAAAGAGAGAAACATACAGACAGAGGAAGAAAGCACCCCCCATTGCAGCCTGCTCTCACCACAATCCCCCATCTTCCAACTCTCTATCTTGTCAGGATTCCAAGATTCCAGGCTTAATGTGGAAGTCACCAGGACCAAGACTTGAACTCCCCATTGGCCATACAGGATCTAGCTTCCTCTGTATAGATCTCAAATACCATGTCATAGGTCCAGCCGTAGCAGCTTTATTTCCATACTGGAAAAAATAAAAGTGCCCATCAACAGATTAATGGATAAATTGTGGTATAATGGTACAATGCAGTACTCTTTAGTAATAAAAAGGAATGAATTCTGATACGTATATAGCAATATGGATAGTCTCAAAATAATTATACTGAGTAACATAAATCAGACAAAAAAAGAGTACGTGTTGTATTGTTCCACCTTTATAAGTCTTAATATCTAAAATAATCTATAGAGACAGAAAACAGATTAGTGGCTGCCTGGGGATGGATTGGGTGGACGGGTGTGGAAGAGCAGGAAGAGGGGGGTAGAGGGATACTAAAGGACACGAGGAAACTTTTTTTTTTTTCTTTTTTTCTTTTTTTTTTGGAGAGATTTTCACTGTAGGGCGCGTGCGCTCGCCAGACAGACAGAGAGAGACATAGAGACAGAAAGTGAGAAATCACCCCCCAGGGGGGATGGTCACGCCGCAATCCCTTCTCCTCCATTCTCCTCTCGGGATCTTGGGCACGCACGCACACGCGCCCGGCGTGAGTTTTAAGCCACCGGGTCCGGGACACAAACTGCGGTCGCCTACGTAGGAGTCCAGCGACATAGCCATTACGCTAACTGCTGGTTCCCTACGAGGAAACTTTTGAGGGTGGTGGAAATGCTCTCTGGTTTTATGGTGGTGATGATTTTTGCAAGTATAATATATGGCAAAACATATCAAATTATACACTTTAAATATGTGCATTTTATTGTATATCAATTATACATCAATATTACAGCAGTAAAATGATTAGGAGGCTCCTAGAAAAGAGACAAAAGGGGGGAAAAAAAGTAAATACTGGTTACAACCAGTAAAATATTATAGCAAACCCCAAGGGGTGATGCCTGTGCATGAAGCCTGAAGGAGAGAGAGTAAAGGTGTCATAAACAGCTGTCTGGTAAAATTTCCAGTGCTGTAAAAACATTCAAGGACTTCATAAATGCACATCATTCAAGCAAAAGAAAAGGCAATTATAAACTCCAGGTAGGAGAAAAATCAATTAAAATTGGCATGTGTTCCAAATGGGAAATCAAACTAAAAGTTGGCATAATTTTTAAGAACTGATGGAAAAAGTTAAAAATAGGGCCTGGATACAAGAACTCTTACAGTGAGCCCCAGGTCATAACAGCTACCATCTGAGCCTCTACTTAGTCTGGCACAGAAACATAGTTACATAATTAAGACAAAGTAATTGCTATTGATTTTCAATTTTTGAGACAATTTATAAATAAGCATGAAGGTCTTGTACATGGTTCTAGATGTGAATATTAATGATCTCAATTAAAAAATTAAATTGGGGAAGAGAGGTGGAAAAGAACAGGAAAACATAGGAATTATATTTTAATTTCACCCAAAGAGAAATTGAAATACTCAACTAAAGATGATGAAATGACTCTATGATGGTATAAAAGTAAACGTGGGGGGACCAGCAGGTGGCGCTGTGGTTAAGGTGCTGGACACTCCCACATGGCCAACCACAGTTCAAGTCCCAAACCTGGTGGCTTGCTTTCTCTCTCTCTCTTTCTCTCTCTCTCTCTCTCTCTCTCTCTCTCTCTCTCTCTCCTCAAATTAAAATAAATAAAAGAATAAATAAAATTAAATAAATGATTCTTTTTTTTTTTTTTTGGAGAGGTTTTTGCTATAGGGCTTGTGCACTCGCCAGACAGACAGAAAGAGACAGAGAGACAGAAAGCGAGAAATCACCCTCCAAGGGGGATGGCCACGCCGCAATCCCTTCTCTTCCATTCTCCTCTTGGGATCTTGGGCACACACGTACACACGCTCAGCGTGAGTTTTAAGCCACCGGGTCCGGAACGCGGAACGTGAGCCGTGGTCGACTACATGGGAGTCCAGTGACATAGCCATTACGCTAACTGCTGGTCCCCCAAGAAATAATTATTTAAAAAGAAAAAAAGTAAATGTGGTGCTCTGTGAGACTGACCCGCATGGGAAGGTTCCAGGTCTATGTCCAGAGACCTCGTTGAGTATGTCAGGCACCTGCATGCCCACGATCCAGGGCTGGCTGAAGCTTTGAGACTGTTGGGGATGCTGCATCTCTCACTCATAAAGAAAAAGAAAGAAGAGACGAGAGACAGACAGACACAGAGAGAGAGAAGGGAGGAGGGAGGGAGGGAGGAAGGAAGGAAGAGAAAGAGAAAAGAAAGAAGAAGAGAAATAGAAAGAAAGAAAGAACAAATGAAAGAAAGAATGAAAGAAAGAGAGAGAGAAAGAAAAAGCAAAAGGAAGGAAGAAAGAAAAAAGAGAGAGGAAGAGAGGGAAAAGGAAAGGAAAGAGGAAGGGGAGGAGAGGAAAGGAAAAGGAAGAAATTATGTTTAAAAGATAATGCAATAAGAAATAGGGATATAAGTGTATCACGTCAAGTCACAAAGACAACCAACTGCAGAACTACAAAGTACAATATAATTTTCTAAATCATAAGGAAGAAGTTTGGAAGAGGCATTTGTGTCCATGAGCTGTATCTTTACCTTGTAAGGTAACGAGTGGGTGGAGACTGAAGTTGAAAAGAAGTCAAAGAATAAGCATGGTGGGTAGAGTTCGGGTTGTGACCGTCCAGAAACAGCATCTGGGCTATGGGCTGAGCTCAGCAAGGGCCAAGCCCCTTGCGGCCGTGTGGGTGAGTTGCTGCCTTGTGCATGTGTTAGCTGGAGGAATCATAAGATTAAAATCAGCAGGGGGCTGACTACTCAGACCACTTACTCTGGTGGTGAAGGCCATTTGGGGACAATGGAAGTATGACAACGATGGAGACAAAACTGGTACCATTTCCAAAAAGACTGTGTTCCGTACATTTGGCTCAAGGCAGATCAGGAGAGCTGGCCACATAGCAGCTTCACTGCCCTCAGTCAACCAGAGCAGGAGACGTTCCCGAAAGCCAGCTGGTCATTTCCCCTCCCTGGCCATACCTGTGCCCCTACCACTAGCCCTGTAGGGCCTGGCCAGCCCCACACACCCATACATCACGTTGCCTCCTTAGATGTGCACACAACTCCTCAATGCAAGTGCTCACTGAGGTATGTGCTTCCTTCTGCACTACCGTGGGCATCGCAGACTCCTGAATGGGCACGCTGCCTCCGTGGCCCCCCTAGCTCCTTTACATGCAAGAATTCCTTCAAGGGCCCTCTCCCCATCTTTCCCCAGCCCCTCATCCTGGCCCTGGCTGCAGTCAGCCTCTCTGAACTAACAGCTCACAGCTTCCCAGCATTCCTGATTTGCCAACACACCACCTCTGGGCCCTCCTGTTCCTCGGGGATGCCTCCCTGGACACGTGCATGTTAAGTTAGGTAGAGGGGTGGTATTTGTTTCTGGGCAGTGAGACTGGGTTGCCACAGGCCAAAAATGAAGTAATTTGGTTTGTTTCTTTTTTCATTGTTAAAAAGATCATACAAGGGCCAGCAGGTGGCATAATGGTTAAGGCACTGAACTCCCACACAGCTGACCATGGTTTGAGTCCTAGACCTGGTGGCTTGAAACTCGTACCAGGTACATGTGCATGCATGCCCAAAAGCCTGAGAAGAGAATGGAGGAGATGGGATTGCGGTGTGGCCATCCCCACGGGAGTCATTTCTTGTTTTCTGTGTCTCTAATGAGCACATGTGCCCAATAGCAAAAATTGCTAAAACAAAAAAGTATACAAGCAAACAAAAAGAACAAAATCTTAGCTTAGCGTTTCTTAAACAACTGAGGGGGAAAGAGCCAAGTTATTGTTTGGGATAAGAGTAGGATTTTTGTTGTGCAAGTTCTGGAAAGAACATTAAAAAGGCTCTACATTTTAGTGTTTCGATATAAACATTTTGTGCCTCCATTAGATCTGGAAAATTAGGAAAAAAAATAAAACTAAAAAAGACAGGATCTCCCTTAAAACCGGACACTCCATCCAAATGGAGCCTTCCTGAATTAAAAACATTAATGATGTTAAATGTTGACATTTCCTGATATATCAAATGTCACACTCCTCTTTGTTTTTTCCTTCAAGTACTTTTTAAGAGGCTATGTTTGTTTTCCAAATAAGAAGCTTATTTGCTTTCTAAAACCAGTTTGCTTATTTAATAATCCCCTTCAATTCATCAAAGTTAGAAACAAATGCTTTAAGCCATTTTAAGGTGTAATTTAGTTAGACTTGTTTCCATGAGAGTTAGTCGATGGCGGGTAATGAATCTCGGAAACCAGGAGAGTGACATTTATGAACGCCTGTGACATTTTAAACTGCCAGCTCAAAGACACCACTGTGGTCCTGCCTCCTCTTTCTAGACACGCTGCCATGGAGCCAGAATGTTAGTGCTACCGGGAGCCATGGAGAGCATTAGCTGACGCAGATCCTGTGCCTGGCTGGGGAACCGGTAAACAAAAAGAAATCTTCTTTTCCTCTCTTCTGCAGAATCCCAACCCAGGATTATTTCCTGTAATGCGCCCTCTGACCTACGCAGAAACGCTGATAGATTACCATCTGTGCTCTCACCCCAAGTACAAGTTCACCAAAGAAACTCACGATGGGTCCAGCATTCCTCTCACCCAAAAGCAGTTTCTCCATCACACGGTAATGCCATTGCCAGGCTCCCTGCCAGGCTGGTCCTAGGCTGCAGGGAGGGCCGTTGCCGGAACTGAGAAAAAGGGAGTTTGCAGCCACAGCTGCAGAATAAGAGTGCTAACCGTCACCCTCACACCATCAGCCTAACGGGGACACGCAGAGGCCCAGCACCACTCCAGTCCTGTCCATACCCACCCCTCGCTGACATCTGCCCTTTATTCCATCGTTCTCTCTCTTTTCTTCTTGACGGCTAGGCCTCATGTTAGTTCATTCATATTTCAACCTTGTAAGAAAGTCACATGGTGTGTGTCGCCCCATGGTCTGACCTTTCTTTAGCCCCCAAAGTATAAAACCATCGGAATGGACGAGGTGGGATGGGACAGATGCACAGTGAGGAAGTAGTTCCAAAGAATTCCCTCGCCTCCCAGGTGACCAAGTTGGTGTGAATATCTGCTGACACCTCTCTCTCGAGGGCTCCCCTCAGGCCCCTCAATCTCAACACATTCCTAATTGGGATTATTATCTCTGCCCCACTTCCACCAACCACACCCCAACTTCGCGCCTTCCTGTATCACCTGCTTGCCATTACCCATGTGATCCTGGATCCCCCTTCTCCTTCTCCCCATACCTACCCCCGACGGGGTGCCACCAGCCTGCCTCTTCTTCAGCATGCCAGTCTCGCACCGCCCACCCCTGCTGCCATCAGCCTTCCATGGACATCTTACTTCTGCCCAAATCTGGTCATGTCATTTCCAGCTCGGAAGCCCTCAGAGCAGCTCCCAGAGGTTTGCTTGGCCGGCGAAGCCCATGTCGCTTTCCTCTCTTCGTCACGTGCTGTGCTCTCGGCCAAGCCAGTGGCCTCGTGCCACACTGTCCCTCACATTGCCAGCATGTGACTCCCTCACCTGGAGTATTCGTCTTTGCTGAACTATATTCGTCTTTTTTGACACTTGCATTCGCATCACATCCACAGTGATCAAACAGGTCGTCAGATGGCCTGGCCTCCCTCACAGAGCACAGGTTGCTGTGTGCCCAATGAAACCGCGGGGGACGGGGGCGGGACAAAGCTCTTTCGCCTCTAATTCAGGGTTACATTGTTTAATGCCCCTTGCTGGAGCAGTTGTCTTTTTGCTTCAGAAAAATCCAATCACAGTTAATGAAATTATGCATTTTGGAGTTAACTTTTTAGGACTGAAAATAAGTAAGTGACGTGAAAGTCTTTCCTAAAATGCTTTCGGCAGGCAGTCCCTCTCCATGGGGGACTCTGTGGCTTTCCTTGCAGGACATCATCCCTGGAATAATGCACTGGAAGAAGTTCCAGTCGCTGGCTCTCTCCTCGCTGCCCAACACCGCTAAGTTGGAGGCCACACAGAGGTGAGCATGGCTCTCTGGCTGTCTTGCAGTGTGCGTGCCCTGGGGCTTACAGAGCCTGTGACCCCACAAAGTGGACGTGTAAAATCGTATGTGAAGCATGAAAGAAGTGTTCTAGCCAGAGAAAGGTGATGATGTATTTTCATCAAATCGTCATATCTTGAATGTATCTCACTGGAGACATACTTTATAAAAAAACAGTGTTACAGGTGGCTAATGGGCAGTGCTTCAGTAAAAGTAGACAGCCAATCCAGACAATTCTGCTGAAATATCTGTGGCCAATTAAAACTTTTTTAACTGCCAGGGTTAGCCCTCTACACCCCCCATATCCAATTCCAAACGACCGACCTCTCTCTCATGCCACAGCCTCGCCTTCCCTGTGAGCCCCACGGCCTCCCACACAGAGGCATCGCTCAGCTCCAGAGCCCACCTCTCAGCTGCCGTATGCGGCAGGCAGATACGAATACTGACTGTTGGACAATGGAAGAAGAAACTTAGGAGTAGCCACATTTTTCTAGTCTGTTTATTTAAAATCTCTTGAAAGTCCTAAGATGTCAAGTAGCTGATGTCTTTCCTGTAAACTCGGCCTGCTTGATAGCCCACTGCTGAGCGCTCGAATTTGCGTCTTCAGCCCACTGTCCCTGTAAATATAGGACATGAGACATGAGTTATCAGTGAACAAATGTGACTGGTGTCCCGACCTGATTCTTACCAGCTGTGAACTTCTGTTAAAATTCTCTGACCCAGGGGACCAGCAGTTAGCGTAATGGCTATGCCGCTGGACTCATGTAGCCAACTGCGGTTCGAGTCCAGGACCCAGTGGCTTGGACTCACGCCGGGTGCATGTGCGTGCGTGCCCAAGATCCCAAGAGGAGAATGGAGAAGGGATTGCGGCGTGGCCATCCCCCCAGGGGGGTGATTTCTCGCTTTCTGTCTCTCTGTCTCTCTCTGTCTTTCTGGTGAGCGCTAGTGCCCTATAGCAAAAACCTCTCAAAAAATAAATAAATAAATAAAAATCCTCTGATCCAGAATAAGGCCCGGCTTAAGGTGGCAGAGCTTGTCATAGCCCAAGAGTGGGACTGGCCAGGAAACCTGAGCTCCCCACCAACCAAGACCAGCAGGCGATCTTTATACCCACCGCACCGGCTCCCACTGGTGCATCCTGGATCTCCCTCAGAAACTCACCAAGGACGCCACACGATATCCAGAAGTCGTGTGACCTCAGCCACACTCGTGGCCCCTCTCTTCTCTAGGCCCAGTCCTCCTGTCAGGAAGACAAGGGCATTGGATTTGTAGCAAATGTCCTTCTCAGCCTTGCCATGATAAGTTTAGTAGGAATACAAAAACTCGCCTAGTGTACAACTATCCCATGTACACTGCCCTTCCCAGTATTAGGGAAGACACTAACCCAGTTCGTCACTTAGAACACTTAACATTACTTTTTCCTTCATTGCTGATAAGAAAAACCTCCTCCTTAATTAAGGACGAGCAGCCCTGCTTCCAGAGGCTTTTCCACTTGCAGGCCTTAAGAGTTATTTCCTGCTCTCTTTAGCCAGGAAATTAGCATGAGATAAACAAAAAGCACCCAGCCCAGGACAGGACAGGAGCTCAAAAGTATTCGTTTCTTTCCTGTCGGTTCATCTATACCTCGCCCCATTGCTATCTCCAAAATCGAGTCAGCACCTCTGTTCTTTATTTTAGCATATTTCTAAAATCTGAAATCTCCAGAATCTGGGGAAACGATGGCATTGTGGATCGACAGCTCTGGCACCAGAGACCTGCTACCGTTCCTTGCTAGCTGCGCTGAGCAGTCTGTCCTTGCCAGTTACTTATTACCCAAGTTCTTTGAGCAAAAAGAACAGAGCAGAGACCGAGATGGCAGCCCCCTCCCAGGGCAGTGTAAGGACTGAGCATCTAGCTTGTGAAGCTTCTAGCTTGTGAAGCGTCTAGCCGCAGCCTGGTGCTTGCTTCTACCCTCCCCCCACTTCCACCTCCACTCACCACACCTTGCAGTCACTCTGTTGCCACCAGATGGCGATGGTCGGTCACTGCCTTGACAGATTACCTCATTTTGCGGGGGAACCAGGACGCTTCAAAACTGACCTGTGAGGGACCAGCCTAGGGTAATGGCTATATCCAGCCGTTAGGGTAATGGCTATATCGCTTAACTCCCATGTAGTCATCCGCAGTTTGAGCTCCGGACCCAGTGGCTTTAATTCACGCCAGGCGCGTGTGCGTGCATGCCCGCCAAAGATCCCGAGAGGAGATGGAGGAGAAGAGATTGCGGCTTGGCTATCCACCCGGGCGGGGTTCTCACTTTCTGTCTCTCTGTCTCTCTCTGTCTTTCTGGCAAACGTATGTGCCCTATAACCTCTACAAAAAAAAAAAAAAAAAAAAAAGGACCTGTGAGATCAGTGAGCTGAATTTGGGGTATTGTCAGGAGACTGAATAAGCAAAATGAGAAATGGTGGGACATGGAGACTGCCCATCTCCACCTGCTGTCAGTAGCGCAGGTTTCAAGAATTAAGACAAAACATTCTTGTTCTTTTTCTTTTTTTTTCCCTCCCAAGAAAATGTCCTTGGGAAAAGCTCCTGGGGCAGTTACCGTGGGCTTGAACATCCATGAATTAACCATAAGTTCTACATGAATTAAAGAAAATTCTCCAACCAGGAGTTGTTACTTTCAGCTTCTGGGCCTACGTGCTCTGTGGGGACAGTTTGTTTCAAAATAAACTACAATTGCATAACAGCTCATAAAATCAAGAGAGGACTCTATTTCCTTATCACGGATTTCCTCTGAATGTGAGATTCTAGGTCATGTTTTTGTTTCTAAAAACAGTTAGAAAATAGGAATGGTAACTCCTTTTTTAAAGTTCCATCTTAGCTTGATCAGGCTGCTATAACAAAATGCCATAGACAGGGTGACTTTTTAAAAGTTTTAAAAGAATTTTATTTCTCAGGGTTCTGGTGGCTGGAAGTTCAAGGTCAAGGCTCCAGCAGACTTGGTGTCTGGGAAGAGTCAGTCCACTTCCCAACTCACACATGGCCATCTTTGGGGGTTTTTTAAAGAATTATTTATTTAATTTTAATTATTATTTGTCCAGAGAGAGAGGGAAAATGAAAAAACAAGCCATCAAGTCCGGGACTTGAATTGTGCTCAGTCATGTGGAAGTCCAGCACCTTAACCATCACACCACATGCCAGCCCCTGGCCACCGTTTTACTCTGTACTCCCATTGCAGAAGGGGGAGGGCAGCTCTCTGGGGCCTCTCATTTATGAGGGCTCTACCCTCATGACCTAATTATCTCCCAAAGGCTCCATCTAACCAGCACACTGGGGGTTAGGTTTTCACATAAGAATGTGGAGCATTTGGGGTGAGGGGTGATATACAAGCATTCAGTCTAGGGCAAGTTCCTACTAGTCCATTAAAGGCATTTCCACTTTGCAGCTACATCGCTTGAATAAATGACTTCTCTTACTTACAAGGTTTCCCTTATATCTTTTGCCCCAAGAGTTAGCTTTAGTTGTTAAGTCATGCAATATAGTTAGTGTTCATTTATTTCAAGTCATTTTTGTATTAATAATAATACTGGGTCATAGAAAAGTCATGACATATTTTTCTATGTTTTTCTATGCAAAAATGCATCATGACTTTTCCAACCACCCGGAAGCAATTTGTCAATTTATTTACTCCTTAGTAAATTCAGAGAGAATTTGTTGAGTCTCTACAGATTTCCATAACAACTGACTCAGTATCGAGCAAAGAAATGATCTAACTCAATACTTCACAGCCTTTTAGATTTTATAGATGAGTGAAATGTACAGAAGCACTGGGGAATGGACATAGGTTGTCAGAGTTTCACTATGTCAAGCGGGACATTAAAGTAAGATAAAGCCAGAGGCAAGTTGGTGGTGTGGTGATTAAAGGCACTGACCAACCATGGTTTGAGTCCCAGACCTGGTGGCTTGTTTTTTCACTTTCTCTCTCTCTCTCTCTCTCTCTCTCTCTCTCTCTCTCT